CAGGCAGCGAAATGGAAACTTTTCTTTGGCAGTTGTCGGTAAATTTCGCATGTGGCTTGCCACTTACGTTTGCGGCAGCACACACCAAAAACAGCGACTAATTCTAAGGCCGCGCAACCAACCCACCAGCATGCGCCATGTGGCAACAACCGGCCGATCGACCAATTTCACTATGAATGGCTTGGTGGCAGCTTTATTTCTACTCCACAACCGTGTTGCAACTCATCATTTCGTATGCGTGAGGTGCTTATTTGCCGCAGCCGTAGGCGGTAGAGATGCGATCGCGCGTATGCTTGTGGCATGGAGTTAATGCAGAAGTGTTGCAAAACATATTTATTGTTGATGTTTCTAATTTCCATACGAGTAACCAAATGCAAACATGTTTTTAGCTCATTATTGTGCCACTTACACGCCTCTTTACCGGCTCACGCACTGCACGTACGCACACAAATACAAATACAATGTGATTTTTTGCTAGGTATCGACGCTTACGTTCGACTTTAGCGGCTGCCAGCCCTTCTGCTCATGCAACACTCATCAGCACCTCGCTTGTCGCTTTCCAGCCAATCGCTTGCATTCGTATTAGAGGTTTATGGGCTGGCAAATTGGCATGGAAATTATGCCAAAGCAAGAAACTTGTGAGGAAAAAATTTTAAATAGAAGAATTAGACGGCGTCAAGCTGTGGTTTGCCTCCATATTCACAAATACAAATTGCCATCTTCACTGTTGCAAATATCCCCCATTCACAGAAAAGCATTTGTGTATATGTGTGTGTGTGTGTGCGTTAGCTGCAATCGCGCTTTCTTAATCAACATCGAGCTTCTGGAAAGATTATGGCTGCTACTTCTTTCTTCTTTAATTACAAGCAATTTGTTGTGAACAACATTCTCAAGTAGTTGAGTGCGAGCTTGGTGAGCGAGGAAGTTCGATAACCTATAAAATTGATTACAGTAGAGTTCACGCGCTTATCTACTCTTAAGAAACTATATAAATTTGTACAGTTGCATGGAGTCTATCATTGAGTTTGCAATATTAGATTAATTGAGCTCAGAAACATCTTTCATACTTGTATACGTATGCAGGGTTGCAAATTTTTTTATTAAAAAATTTGGAATTAAAAATGAATGAAAATTCTTAAATCCAAAATCAATGAATTCAAAATGTATTAAATTTAAATTGTTTGAATGTGTAAGTTTGCCGACCACTGCTCTAAAGTATTGAACATGGTGGCTCTGAGCGAGCGCTAGTTCAAAATGGTGGAATGGTTTGCAAGTGCGAAAAAATGTAAATTCAAAAACAATTATTATTATTTTTTCTTAAATTATTAATTATAAACTTGGGAAGAAATTTGGGAATAAAAAAAAATAATTTTTGTTTCAATCTGATATTCGGTATAAGAAATTTGAAAATTATTTTTAATTATGGTAAGATTTTCGGGATCACAAAATAAAAAAATCAATTTAAATGTTAATACATTGTCATTACTTGCAACCCTGCTCGTATATAAAGTGGCAGCTGGTTCGAACTTCTTCCCCTATTTTGGGTGTCTACTTTATACTGTCCGCGATCGAAAAGTTTTTTGTTGCTTCTGAATGGGTGGTGACTTTTATCTTGAGAATTTTTTTGTGGTAATTTTTGAAATTTATTGGCGAGACCAAGTCGCAATTGAGAACTACATTTTCCTGATTCGGATTTGATGTCAATGTTGCCACCCGTCAATAATTGTTATTAGAGTAAATTGCTAAAATGGATTAGCATCAAATGTAACAGTAAATTTTATTTCACTACAGCAATAAAAATAATAGTACAATATATTACAATTTGGCAGAGTTCGAAAAAATTGTTTTTCTAAAGTTAATAGTAAACGGTAGTTACTTCTAGAAAAACTTCAAGATATCCATGGTATTAAATTATCACGAACATGTGGAACGCGTTTGCACACAATTTCATATTACAAGAGCAGCAACTCCTGAAACTAGTTCCATATTATTTTTAGAATGTCAGACCGTTTTAAGCCAGTGTAAAGTTTTTGACCCACTATCTCATAGAATTATTATTGATTGAGTATTATTTATACTACTCATTAAGAGTTCAAGATAAAAAACCATTTTTATCCTCTTTAGCATTGCAGTCTTCCTTTTTGAAAAATTCGTAATAGCAGCTTGCAGTGAAAATAGCAACCTGTGTAACCAGAAATGGTGTATATTTATTTAGAGTTTATCAGGAATTGCCAACTCGCTACATTTTCGAGATATTTTTGGAAAAAATTTCTACTTTTATAGCAGCAACAATAACAACTTGAAATCCCTCAAGCCATGAATACGCTGTAATATAAGATATCCAAAAAGCAAAGGTGAAAAATTTATGAACTTATTATTAAAAAACGGTAAAAATCAACTATCAAATAATAAACTAAAAAAAAAATCGTGGAAAAATTATCAAAAGTATGCAGATAAAATCGTGAATTAATCTCTATGAAAGCATCGGCAATTATCAACTGAAACAACCCCACGCAAATATCACCAAATCCAAGCACAAATTACAAATTCAAACGCCCAATTGAAATGCTTCGCAGCGCAACGCTCCAAGCCTGCCATTTATTACCAATTTCATGCCGCATGTGTTTGTTTGCGAGTGTGCGTGTGTGTGTGCTAACATCTCGATATTTACATGCGGTCATTTGGCTCGCCTCGAGCAATTTTCATTAATAAACATACGCGCTGCGCACACAAGAGTTGTTGTTATTGCTTTGTTGTTGGCGCTGCGGAAGAAGCGCAAAACGGGCGCAAACAAGTTAAGAAGCTGCCTCCAAGTGCAAGCAATGCGACAGGACCAAGATTAATGCGAGCGGCCGCTAAGAAAATTGTCGTCTTGCGCTTAAGTAATGGCCGCTAAGGTGAGGAGAAGGTAGAGGGAAGAAGCGCTGCAGCGCCGATGTTGGCTGAACAAGCAGTTGACCACAAAATTGCGCGTTAATAGCATGGAAAAATGGCGCGGTAAGTGAGCCAAGAATTATGGCGGCGTGGAACGGCGCTGAAATGCTAGGAATTCGCTGCCGAAACAGCATTAGCATTTAGCGCTGGCCACATATGGCCACTTCAACGTACATGCATATGAGTGAATGCCACTACAACGAGACATATGTGTGTGTTTGAGCGCTCATAAATTATTACAAATATATGTAGATATAGATATATGTTATATGGGCAGATATATCTTTGAATTTATTGTTGTTAGAAAGGCAGCGCGCATATGTGTGGAGGGATGTATGTATGAATGCATGTGTGTGCATATTTATGGACATTATGCAGTGTGCTTCCCACCACCGCGGCCAAACGGTGACATTTAATTGCGTGTGGTGCAACCAATGGCACTCAACTAATCAATTAAGCAGCGTTGCTGCGGCAACAGCGGATACAGTTTAGTTAAATATGTGGCATATAGAGCACGAGGCGGCGCTAAGCATAGTACTTAAGATATGCTATATTGCAGCAGCGCCAAGTTATGAAACGAGGCGCGAGATTGTCATTGCTGCTGCTTTATGCTATTTACCATACATATATGTATATACATTTATGTGAATGCTTAGTTATGCTTTTGTTGGTTGTGCGCGCTATTTGTAGCGGTACGTTGTCAGTAACACATAACGGTATTCGCTTTGTGTCTTTGAATTAAAGTAGAGTCTTCTAAATAGAGCACGCTTATCGATTTAGCATTCGTTTTTTTTCGAGTAACTAAATTAATTTCAATAAATATTAGAATATACGTATATTTTCAACGGGTCCGGAAAGCTAAAATGCTTTTAAATATTGCCATAAAGTAGATTATAGAAGAAACTTGTAAACTTTCGTTCTCTTACTTAGTTTGATACCCATATTGTGTTTCCACTCAATACATTATTGCATAAGTAAACATATGGCAGCCCTTACAAAAAATGTTTGAAATAAAACATATGGTTCCCTTTTTTTAAATAATCATATAGAAATATCAGTAACATTTTTTAAAAATAAATTTTTCAAAATAACAAAAATTGAGACAGGTGGCAACGCTCCCAAAAATGTTTTAAACATTTCGTTTTTCCGCTAAAATTTTCTATTTAAATTTCTTTTGTACCTTTGTTCCAATAAATTTAGTATATTTTATAAGCATTTACCATGTTGTTAGCAACATGCTGCACTTTCTATTTAAGAAGCAATTAATAGTAAAAGCTCTGAAATCTTTAAACATCGCTTGTTTGCAATCCATTCCATTATTGTTTTGAATATAAAATTTCAAAAGAAATCAATTTTGGTAATTATAATTCCTAAATATATTTTATTGCAACATGTTGCACTGCTACATGCGTATCTAACGCAATACACGTAACCAGCTATGCGCTCGCACGAATGTTGCTAGAAACACCAAACACATATTCAGTTGCAACACTGATTTCGTAGCTCATTGTGAGCGCGCAAGAAAGTGTGACGAGTGCTGGCGCTCAGAGCGCCACAGAGCACGCAAGGTCGGAGTAAAAGAAAGTGCAAAAGTTGCCAAGCGATAGCAACAAGTACAACAGCATTCGCAAGATAGGGAAATGAGAGCCGCCACTCTCTGCAGGAGAGCATTAAATGAGAAAAGCCTGTATAACTTGCTATGGCACAACCCCAGATTTGGCGAGATCAAAAGAAAAGCCAACACAAAAAGCGGACCAACAAAGAAATGCAGAATATTGCGCTGAACATATGACAATAGTTTGGAAGCGACAAGTTCGATGTGCGCTTCGAACTGGCAATCAACGGTGATAGAAATGGTGTAGAAATGAGCGCGCTGATTTAGCCATGACCAGTTGGCGGTCACGGCCAAAAAAGTTGAGAAAATGCTTTCTTACAAATACCGCTGACGATCTTTGGTATGTTTGTGTGTGCGTGTTTGTTGCTTCAGACATTTCTTGCTTTGCGCGCTCTCACAGCCAACTTTTGCTGGCGCGCTCAGCAGCTGCGTGCCTGCTTCGTTTTGTTGTCGTGATGGCGCTGTTGGTGCCACTGCTGCCTCCCTGGCTGCATTCTGGTTGCAGATGGCCGTCGCAGATGGGTTTGGTTGGGCCAAAAGAAATTTTAAAAGACGCTGCAAAATCTGTTTGCTGAACATTTGTACCGCTGCGGTGCTAGTAGTTACAGCTCGTCGAGTTCGTCGCTTAAGTCTTTCGTTTTAGCGTTTGTTTTTCTAAGTTAAATACTCTTTTGTGTTTAAAAGCTTGTGTACTAACTTGATTTCTTCCTCGGTTCATAACATTGATTGGACACATTTTTGTAAAACGTTTTTGTTTGTGACTGTTGGTCAAACGGGTACTTTAAGGCTAAAAATCCGATTAAACGAGTGATCTAAAAAAAATAATGCCAGAAATTTTTAAAAGTAATTTAAAAACATAGAAAAAGAATTAAACGGGAATTGTGTGTAAATGTTAATGCTACAGACATACTTATATATAAAGAGACTGGCTGTTTGAAGTGGATGTGGCAAGCGTAACGCCGTTGCGGCATTGCACGCGAAGTGAAGTAACCGACCAACACAAAGGTGGAGGCTTAAGCTTGAAAAGAAGTCAAGAACAGTTAGTTGACACTAATACGGCTTGTCGCTGATTTTATTATTTTATTTTCATTTTTTGTTTGGCTCACAGCAGCTGGAAAAATAATCAGAAAGAAGCTAAAGACAAAGAGTTGTGCAAAAAGGTGGTTAGAACTGTGAGTTGGGCAGCAGGACTACGTCAGAGGTGATTGAGACGAAGTAAATGCGAAGTGCAAACGGAATTAGTGGCGCTGAGTAGATAAAAACGTGTGAATTAAGAAGAATTTTATAATAATTTAAAAATATTTATAAAAATATATATTAAAAACGGAGTGAAAAAATATATAATTTTTTTTAAATTTATTAAAATATTGTATAAGTTCTTTCCCCAAATATTATAAACAAAAATTTTGAGTGCTCTAAACCAAAATTTATCGAAGCATAGAAATTAAAATAACATTCCACGGGTTCTTAAACAAAATTGTATAACAAATATCTACAATGAGATCCTCGCATTTATCCTCATTGGCCATGCTGGTAGCTGCCACATGCCTCACCAGCTTACTACAGCTCTGCAGCAGCACTAATGCCGATTATCCTGGCGTTATCGAGCTAGTAGGCTATAGCAATCGGCGCGCACGCACACACTACATTCCGCCAGTTGGCGATAGTCCCACACTTGCGCCACCACCGTCCAAAATACAGGCTGATATCGAGACGGTGAAAGCGAATATCGAAAAATACAATAAGTTACTGACGCTGGATACGAAAAATTTGCCAGAATCGCAAAAGGATATGCTAGAGCGTATCGTTGAGCGTGTGGCACGTCTCAAGGAGTCGCTGGATATTAATGAAAGCGAACATCTAAAAGCTTCTACGAAGCCTGTTGATAGTGAGGATATTAATAGCGAAGCAGCAGCAGATAAAACTTTGGATGTCACCACAGAGGCCGCAATCAATACAGAAGCCGAGACAGATCCCACTTTGGTCTTGGATGAAACTACATTGCTTCAGTTGCAGACCTCTATGGATGAGTTGGCTGCGGCACAGGCCGCTGTCACTGCACAAACTTCGGTAGCACGCGAGCTGCCAACCACCACAGAGTACAACTACAATGGTAGCAGCGATGATGCCGAACAAACGGAGAGTGCCACAGATAGCAATGAGAATGATGATACCACTGAAGGTGCGCTGGCAGCCGGCGTTGATTATCCCACCACCACAATTGATCCACTCACCGATGCCACCGATTCCGACGACCAATTCGTTGCAGCACGCTCCAACAACAACATAGCGGCAGCCTCAATCAAAGCAGAACCGGAGGACTTGAATGGTGGTCTTACCACAATTGGCAGCCAACGCACGTTAACCACTAGCGGCAAATTGACAAAAACGCGTGCCACTAAGAGACCCGGTTCTGGCGGTATTACCAAAACGGGACATACCTCGAAACGTGGCCAGAAACCTGGCACCACTGCTAGCCTGCATCGTCACACGGCCAGCAATAAGCAGAAATTGGCCACAACCACCACGCAACCATTGCAAACCTATCATCATCAACAACAGCCACAACAACAACATTTGCACAAACAGCCACAGCTGCAATATCAGAAACCCCAAACCGCGCAGCTGCCACAGTCCGCTTCCTCGCCCATGTACCAAGTGCACAAAGTGTCTGCGTCACCGCCTGCCACACAGTCCAACGATAAGACTTCAGCTGCCGCAGCCGCTGCTGCTGCCGCCGCCGCAGCTTCAACGGCCTCTATCGCTTCACTGGCATCCACTTACTCCTCCACGCCGGTCACTACAACCTTAGCCAACAACTATGGCAATGCCAATAATAATAATAATGACATGGACTACGAGCCTCAAGTGAATACGTCGGCGTTAATTGATAGCCTGAATCATGCACGCGAGGAATTCTACCAGCAGAAGCAAGGCGTCAGCAACAAGGATAAGGTGAGTTCAGTACTCTTAGCAAGGGGTCTAGCAGCGTTTTCAATGGAGGATAAGGGGTACGGCGCCCGCTTGTTGCGTGCGCGTTTATGTGTGAAATGGTGTCACACTTTGCGGCAATTGGACACTCGCTGAGATGTCTGACGGCGATAGGTCAAGTTGGCTGTGCTAAGTCCACACATCTACTCGTATGTCTTATTAGGTTCACACCCGTTAATGGGTATAAATACTATTTATGGCAGATACTTCATATGATTCACTCTTTTTGCTAAGCAAATTGATATATTATAATTAACTATATTTTTAATGCGACTTCATTTTCGATTCACGCGATAAATGAAAGCTTCGAAATTAGGTGGGGAAAAGCGACTGCGGCAATAATGTCAAAAACCCTTGTGAATTTGAAAAAAAATGTATAAATATTCAAAATTAAGTACATTTTCCATATTTCATATTTCTCTCTTTTCTAGAAGGTTTACACATACATATATTATAAAATAACGAAATTAGTGAGATTGGTGACATTTTTGAAAATATTTGAGAAGATCGATTAGTAAAGGTCGCAAAAATATTCCGTTAATACATGACATAATAACTATTTATAATGTAAAGCGGCATTCGATTCCCGCAAACTTTTAGATCTTTTGAATTAACTGAAGACGCTCAAACTAGTTTATCCCGTAAACTCGGTTCCGAAAAATTACATATGAAAGCTAAACAAAAAATAACATCTGAATTTTTAACTGACAACTAATTTTTTTGGTATTCGATATGTCTCTGAGAAGTTTGAAAATTTTCTCGATTTGAAAAATTATTCTGAAATAAAAAAACTGATATTCATAACCAAAAGAAGCATAAAAAGTATATGGGTCAATATTCTATTCAAATACTTGTTTTCTAAGTTTATGGAATTTTTACTGTTTATTAAAAAATAGTGCGTTTGATTCTCTTTGAAAAAACGGTAAAAAGACGGTTCAAAACAAACTTTTATGATGAGGACTTAATGATAAATTTAAAACTGCATGGAAAATCGTTAATTGATTTTAAAAAGAAGGAAAAATAGCCTTCATTAATAACAAATTTTCCATACAGGAACTTAATTTTAATCAGTTGGATCGGTTGCATGGCGCTATATGCTATAGCAGTCCGACCTAAACAATTTGTTCGGAAATTGTATCTTCGAATTGAATAATATGCCATGCCAAATTTCATTAACTTGTCAAATAGCATATAAGGACTTGATTTTAACCGTTCAGTTCGTATGGCAGCTATATGCTTTAGTGGTCCGATCTGATATGTGAAGATATTTCGACAAATAATGATCGTTCAGCTTGCATGGCAACTATATGCTACAGTGGTACGATATCGGCGATTTCATCAGAAGATTTTCAATCCTAGATCCCATTTGAAAAATGTATTAAACGCTCAATTAACGTAAATCAAGTTTACCGAAAATCGTAAAATGTGGCACCCATATCCAAAGGAACCAGCAGACTCCACAATGTGCCTTGTATATTTATCTACCTATTTGTATGTACCTATATTCGAAACATCTCGTTGCAATTATGAGATCAACTAAAACCCCGAGTCCAGTAATAACAGTATCTATCGACTGTATCACGAGTATTGATTGTCTGTCAAGTAATACAACAAATATGTGTAACAACGGCAACAACATTGGCAACATAATAAATGCGTGTAGCGCAAAGCAAACGATTGTTTCGGTGAATGCCACTTGTTGCAATCGAACAAAACCGTTTTACAACATTAGCAACAGCAAAAGCAACAACATGTACTCCAACAACAACATATGAGCAACAAAAACATTGAAGGCAACCAATGCTATGGAGATAGTTGCAACTGCATTCGACTATTATTGCTGTATTTTCAATTCAACAATGTATTTGTTGTTGTAATTGGTATGAATTGATTGTGATTGCTCGGCACTGAACTCGTGGCCTTACCGTCACACTGCCTCGCCAAGTAGCAACAAAGTAGAAATTATGAAGAGATATTCTTGCCGCATATTTGTGTGTGTGTGTGTGTGTGCCACAGTATGTATTGCAACGCTGTGATGCTGCTGCTGCTTTCAAAGTAAATCGATTGTCATAAAAGAGGATATACATACATATATACTTCTTTATATATGGTACATGGGTATATATATACATACATAGCCATTGCCAACAACAACAGCAATCGTGCCCCAAAGCAATTGTTATGAACGTACGTATAAAAGCACAGTTTGTACTGGCGAACTAACGGCAATTGTAATATCAACTGCAGCAAATAGCATAATAGCACATCAATAAACAACAGTAATGAAACAGTTGAGGACAAGTACTCGCTACTCGTTGCGCTCGTGTATGTCTGTATATTATATTTATATGATTATATGCTTCTACTCGTCTACGGCGAAGAATTCGCACAAAAATGATAAAAGAAATCGTACGCCGCATTAAAGAAGAGTGGAAATACGGTTGATCAGACGTTTATGCCATACTGTAGACGGTATAACTTACTTTTATATATATAAATACAAATATTTCCATAGCAAGAAATATTAGAAATTTTATCGATGTGACATTATGGTAACTGAAACGACGTTTGAACTCTCCAAGAGATATAATAGTGTTTCAGTATAGCAAAGATCACCTGTAGTAAATTGCAAAAGTTCAAAATGTGAAATGTAGAGAAAGAGTTATGTATAAATAATAGAGATATATTTCAGAAGTTTTGATACCCTGAACAAGGTATATTAAGCTTGTCATGAAGTTTCTCAAGGTCGGAGACCCTATAAAATATATATACTCGTATACTCATAAATTATTAGTGTGATGGGTCGATTTAGCAACGTCCGTCTTCCTGTCCGTCCGTCTATCTGTATACAAGCGAACTAGTACCTCAATTTTTGAGATTTCGGTCTGAAAATTTTCACAAGTTCTTTTCTCACCAAAAAGGTGCACATCGGATATCGGACCACTATAGCATATAGCTAGCATACAAACTGACCGATTAATGTCAAGTTCTTATATGGAAACTTTTTTGTTTGTCTTCTCACTACTGAATTCAGAAGGACCTTCCAAGCTCGTGTGGAGAAGATTTTGATGTATTGAAACCTTTTCAGTCTATGAAAACTCGAAACGAGCAATACGAAATGAAATTAAAATTTCGCCTAGGTAAAGTTATGACAAGGACCACTGACATAAAGGCTATCGCCTGCAGATTTAGATTACCATGTCTTTTTACTAAAATATTAAAACAATAGTAATAAATGAGACTATTGTTTTAATATTTTAGTTTTCCCTTTGTTTTTGTATTTCATATACGTTCCACTAGTTTTTATCGTCATCCGTTCTTTACATTTCTGCAACTCCGACTTCGAGCATTGTTCTATATTGCGGCTCAACAACTTCAAGTGCTACTGACATCCTAATATAGAATTTTATCACAAAAATGGGTTTAAAGTACTTCGGAAAACTATACCACAAAAGAAGCGCAAAGTCAGTTTTTTATAGTTGAAAGTATAAAATGATGCATAATGCTGCCATATTTTCAAGTTATCGCTTTTTAAATTTACATGTTGCAATATTATATCATAAAATATGTATATATATAAACATTGTTGAGATTATTAAAAATTCGGAAAATTAAATATTTTCATCCACTGCCATTACTATGCAACACTTTTATTATAATAACTGTCATCGCTATTGCTCATCATAATCACCTGGCATTCTCTAACAGCACACATTAAAACAAAGACAGAAATCAAGAAATCTCGCTAATTTCGATCCAGCAAACCGCAGTGGGTGTTGCAAAGAGCGTCAACGACTTTTTCCAGCTTTCCATTAGCCACTGCACACTTTGTTTAGCGCACATTCTATTTTTATGCAAGCGTATTAATATGCTGTTGCTGTTGTTTTTTATGTTTTTTGTTTTGCGAATCCAAGTGTGGTTTGCAATTTGTTACTACTGACCTATAAATTTAATTCATTCGCTATGGTCAATGCCAACGGCATTTGTGGTGGCGGAGTTGCCACATAAATTATCCGCAGCCAGCATGTCTTCTGCCTGCGCGCCTGCAACAAAACCAAATGCCGCTGCGAAAAACCACAAAAGTGTGGAGTGTAGTGTACAAATCAGCTACATCTTCGATGATTTTTTTGTGACTATTATTGTTTTTGTGTGTGTGGAACTCCTCGCTTCGTACACTTCAATGGACATTAGTGCCAATATCTGCGGACAGTGTGTGTGTCTGCAACGTCATCATCAGCAATGCAGTTTCATTGTTTGATATTCGATAGAAAATTCTCTCGCTGGCAATTGTAATGCAATCGCAACATCAATAACAACAACAACACTGACAACTGTTGCAGCAACAACATCGCCACAATTGTGGCAAACCATGGACTATTAATAAAAATGTCAATGTGATGGTGGCATGCCTCACGTTCACCTACACTTGTTGCCATTGTCATTGCATGGACATTCGCATTATTTTTGTTGGTCAACAAGTCACACTCACTCAGCAGCAATTCGCAATTCACAATCCATCCATTCGAAACCACACACATACTTACGTACTTGTACATATAATTACACACACCTACTTCTGCCGTTTGTAAAACTTCTGGTCGGTGGCAGCAGCTGTTTTATTATGCCACATTCTTGGCTCGTCGGCCGCCAAACGGCAGTAAATAATATTTATGGTTTATTGCCGACATAGAAACGTCTTTATTGGACTTACCTAAAAAGAGATGAAAGCGAAGAAAAATCTTTAGCATCTTATAGTGATAAATAAGAAAAAGCAAAACAAAATGTTTTAATTATAATAAAAATAATCGGTTCTTTGGTTTTCATTGTTCGGCGCTTAAGACAAATACCAAAGTATTTCTTAATTAAAATAACAAAAACCGAGTAAAACGGCTAACTGTTATTAATTTGCTATTCATTGGAGTCTATTGTTTTATATTGAGGGCACTGAGAGCAATAATTGGCAC